GGGGCGGGGGGGAAGGTGGGGGGGATCGCTTGAGTCTAGAAGTTCGAGACCAGCCTGGGCAACAGTAGCAAGACTGTGTCTCAAAAAAACAAAACAAAACTAGCTTGGCAGCAGCCTGTAGGCCCAGCTATTCGGGAGGCTGCAGCAGAAGGATCACCTGAACTCAGGAGGCTGAGGCTGCAGTGATCCCTGATCCTGCCACTGCACTCCAGCCTGGGCAACGTAGTAAGACTCTGACTAAAAAAAATTGCACTTTACTTGCTACTATCCATTCTCCCTCAAGAACTCCAACTGAAAACTAATAGCTGGCAGGGCGTGGTGGCTCACACCTATAATCCCAGCACATTGGGAGTCGAGGTGAGAGGATTGCCTGAGCCCACGGGGTTCAAGACCAGCCTGGACAACTTGGCAAGACCCGTCTCTAGAATCAATCAAAAAATAAGCAGGATGTGATGGTTCGTGACTGTAATTCTAGCTCCTTGGAAGCCTGAGATAGAGGGATTGCCTGAGCCCAGCAGTTCGAGGCTGCGATGACTGTGAGTGTGCCACTGTCCTCCAGCCTGGGTGGTAGAGTAAGACTCAAACTCAAAAAAAAAAAAAAAAAAAAAAAGAAAGAAAGAAACAAAATTAATAGCTAATGTTTATTAAGTGTATACACATTTTTTGAATAGGTACCTATTCAACGTGTAATAATCGCATTATCTTAAATAATACTCTAGAATGGACATAAATATTACCCTCATTTTGCGTGTCAAAAAAATAGCTATTAGAATGCATAATCACTCGCGACCTCACCCATCATTTACTCTTTGTCCATCTTAAGGGTGAATAAAAATTTTATTTTAGTTTTATATTTTATAGATTGCTTATTTCTTTACTTTCCTCACCACACTTGTCATTCCATGTAAATAGAATCACATAATATGTACCCACTTTCTGTCTGACTTCTTTTACTCAATCTCAGGTTGTTGTGATTTATCTATGTTTGGTCTTTTTATTCTTGCTGAGGAGTATTCCAGGCTATGATTATAAGTGTTTATCCATTCATCTACTGATGGGCACTGGAACTGTTTCCTGTTTGGAACTACAAAGAATGAAGGTGCTATTGTAGTGGCCGAAAGTTCAATCCGAGAGACCACCAAGAGCCAATTCCGATGAAAGTTCAAGAGGGCCTTTATTTGCAAGCTTGAGCCTGGGCCTCTGTCGACAACCAACACAGTGGAGTACATTCAGAGGCTCTGATTTCCTTAAGCAGATGCCTTTTATGCTCTTACACAAAGGGAGGAGGAGTTTGGGGGGCTTTCCAGTTTTGTTACCATTTAATTGGGTAGTAACCTCTGGTGGTCAGTTTAACCGTGGATTGGCTAGCCTGACTCAGGCTGACCTTGGCCCACTAGCTAGGGAAGTTGCAGAGACATCTGGAAACTTAGGTGATTACCCCCTGGCACCTGATTGGTTGTTGCTAAGGGGAAAGTGAGATAAGGGAAGGGGTTGAAGCTTGTAACCGGAGCTTTGCAGTTTTTTCCCATAACTGAAATTTTAAACAGCTACAGGTTATGTTTTAAAACAGAAAACTAAAAATGGCTGTGCTATTGTCCACAAGCTGATTACATATTTATTGGGTTATAGCATGCTCTTAACCTATGTCTATGGTATACTTTATTACGGTCCTCTCATTCCCCCCTTCTCATGAGGGTAGAGTGAATCTAATCTTGGATTCCTTTTTAACATGCTGAGTTGTCCAGGGGTACCTGTTGATATTGTTGTTTGAGGGCCATAAGTTGCACAGTGTTTATTTTAGTTTTTACAAAAGTTATTAGCTTGTTTATAATACATGGACCGAAGGTTAGCAACAGTAAGAGTATGATCACGGGGCCTATTAAAGCAGACAATAGTGTGGTTAACCAAGGTGAGTAGTTAAACCAACTTTCAAACCATCCCTGTTTCTGCTCCCACTCTAATTTACGCTTAGCCAAACCTTCTTGCACTTTAGCTATGGATTCCTTTACTATTTCTGAATGGTTGGTGTAGAAACAACATTCTTCTCCCAGAGTGGCGCAGAGGCCACCTTGCTGGAGGAACGGTAGGTTTAAGCCTCTACGGTTTTGCAGAACTACTTCAGACAGAGAGGTTAGGGATTCCTGTAAGTGTGAAATAGAAGTTTCTAATTTTTTTATGTTAGACTCTATTACAGCCCGAAGGCTACTGTAATGATGGGATTGAGTGGCTAGGGAAGCGATACCTGTCCCTGCCCCGGCAAGGCCTAGTCCTAGCAACACTGACAGGGTTATTGCAGTGACCGGTTCCCTTACAAGGCCACTTTTTAGTTATTAGTACCCCTCTACATACCCAACAATTGGTGACACCTAGTGTCCAAGCTATATTTTCAGCCAAATTTACAAACAGATTTTGCCCTACTTTCCACGATTGAGGGAAGGGGGTTAGTTTTGACTGTTGGGTAGTTGGAGGAACTACTAATTGCACAGTTTCTTTAATTAACTTTTTAGCTTTGGGTGAGGGAGCAAAATCCCAACAAACCCAATTTGTGCTTCCGGGGGTGTTACAAGCTATGACACCAGCTTTAGTGTACTGGTAGTTTTGTTTTGATAATCTAGCCAAGTATAGCTGGCCATTATGGGTGCAGATATGTTTATCAGTATAACAAACTTCTGGCTGGGATGAATAACGATGGAAAACCTTTAAGTGTGGCCAGATAGTTTTTATACATTTACATGCTGGGTATAGGGGGGGAAGCGGCAGATACCCAGATTAGGTAGAAATGCATAAAAGCACAAGTAAACTTCCTATCATAAGAAAGGACAGAAATGCTAGTGAAACCCTTTTCTAACATGATCAATGGGGACAACTGTTAATTTTACAACAAATAAAGTTACAAATGGTTTAGCAAGTATAAAGGTTAACAAAGTAAAACAAAGGCTTATCAGTAATGTCCACTGAGTCCTTAAGCCAAATCCTTAATCTTCTGCCATGCGTGGATCAATCAGCTTCCAGAGTGTGATTGAAGCAGGGCCTGAAGTATCCTCATGCTTCTGGAGCAGGACTGGATAAATTAGTTCCACGTCCTTCGTTGGGTTTTGTGACTTTCTGAATGGTCAGCTTAAGGGGTGTTCTCCCTTAAGCTGAATCTGCGGTGCATTCCCAGTCCTGGAAGGCCAGCTTAGTTCTGTTATGTAAAAGAACAGTAAATGGCCCCCTCCAGAGGGGCTTTAGAGATTATACATTTTACTCTTTTACCCATACTATATCACCTGGCTTAAAGGAATGAGCATCGATAGTTAAACTAATTGGCAATCGTTCTCTGACTTGACAATGGATGGCTTTTAGGACTGAACCTAAGGCCTGCATTTGCTGTTTTAGGATAAGACTTTCTAATTCCTTTAAGTCTCCCTGTATGCCCTTAACAAGAGACCTACCATTAAACAACTTTAAAGGTTTAACAAATTCCATTTCAGGGACTTGGATCCTGAGTGATGAAATACCAAATACCTATGTTTAGTTTACTTATGTCTTCAAAGGATTTCTAGTGATTATTATGCTAACCTGCAAATTGAAATTATACTGTCCTAGTCTTACATTTGATGGAATTTTCCCTGGATTTGCCAAGGGGTGGGACAGGTTGCCACTCGGCCTGCAGTAGAAACGTTTGAACGCCTTTCAAAACCTACCTATAGGAAATTTATTTATGTCTAACCTATACTAGCTACCCTGCCTCAATTATTTATTCTTTAGAGATTTTTCGATCCCATAATCATTTGGGGTGCTGAGGGGTGAAGGTCCATCTTCTGTAATTTCTTCAGAGCTGATAATGGGTACAGTCCTGCCTAGCCAGAGATCGAAAATCTCTCCTTGTCTGACTTAAGGCATTTAGCAGTGGCATTATTTGCAGGCACTGGCTGGAATTTTTGCATGACCATTATGTGGGCATGAATTTACTGGATTCTAGCTCAGTAAAAGAAATAAAGTCAGGCTTACATTTTGACAATTGCAGGCAGTAG